GACAGGGGAAAATGAGATGAAAGTATAATAACATATTTGCAAAGATGCTAGGATCAAACTCATTACTTTACATGTTAACCTGAAAGTAAATTAAAAAATGGAAGTAGATAAAAAGAAAGTATGGTCCTGCATGCAGTGAGGAGGAAAAGGAAAGTCTGTTAATATAATCTACTTGGAGATTAACAGGAAAAACGATCAATGGCCTCTGAAATGATTTGTGTTTTAAATTTTGTACTTAAGCTTTTGAGCTAGGCTTTCCTAAGCATTTTCTAAGCCTATTGTCAGAAAATGCACTGTTACATATATCTGTGTGGGTGCATATGTGCATGTGTGCAAGCATATGTCTAGATGTGCGTGTCAGCGCATACGTGCTTGTACATGGAGGCCAAAGAAGACCATCCAATTTTTTCTTTCCTTTGGAGCCAGGTTCTCTTACTGCCTAGGACTCACATAGTTGCCTAGAATGGCTGTTCTGTCAGCTTAGGAGTCCACTTGTCTCTGCCTGCCTTGCTCTAGACTATAAGTATCTACCATAAAATCTTATCACACGCATTGTAGGAACTGAACTCAGATCCTCATATGTATTTGGCAAGCTTTTTTTTCCAACTAAGCTGTCTTCCTAGCTCCTAAGTATATTTTTCAAATAAATATATCTTTGATGATAATATAAACATAGTATATATCAAAGATGCTAATATCACATCTTTGCATAAGTGGAATAGTAGTGGGGCTGATTGTTTACTGTCTTTGGCGTAGAAGCCAGTCTATTTCCACTAGCATGCAAAAGGACAAGCAAATGACAAGGAGAAAACCAAGGCTAACAAAGATATTAAACCATGCCTGAGAAAAAAATGGCAATAATGTAAATAAATTTTATAAATGATAGTCTGGCTAATAACAAAAGTAATTAAACAAATTTTGAAAGTACAACAGTGTATAAAATATTAGTTGACAAATTTATAGTACATGAGGTGGTTTAACTTGGGCTTCTCCTGTCACTCCTGCCCAGTTGCCTGCCAAGAGCCAGTCTTCAATATTTAGAATAACCGTTGTGTCACTGTCTCCTTTCTGTTCCTTTCATCATGGTCAAGGATTTATTCATTTGGTACTCTAATGTTTTATAATAGCAGGATAATTTCACCCAAAACACTAGCAATTAGTTGCGTATTACTGTCTAATGGTTATGGAGTTTCAATTTGAAGTAATGGAAACATTTTGGAGAATGGACAATACTGACAGTTGCATAACATTAGGAATGTAATTGGTAAGAGTGAATTGTATGATGCAAATTGGTTACATTGACAAATTTATGTTAGCTATATTTACCATAATCCTATTAGTAACTAAAATTTAATGAAATTAATATTATTATAAAGCATTCAATCATATATATGTGTGTGTGTGTGTGTGTGTGTGTGTGTGTGTGTGTGTGAATTGGGGACTAGAAAAATGGCCCAGTGGGTAAATGCTTACATATCAAGTGTAAAGATTTATATTCAGATCCCTGGCACCCATGTAAAGCCAGGCATGTGTAGTAGCCCATGTCTGTAATTCCAGTACTCATTCAGTGAAATTGGAGGTGAAACAGGACTGTGTAAATAAAGCTGTGTACCAGCTAGCCCAGTGTACCCAACAGTGAATGACAGAGACTCTGAGACATACATGCATACCTCCCATTACACATGAACATGTGCAGACCTACCTATCTCACACACAGACAGACACAAAGATTTTAAATGTGTGAATTATAGGGCATATGAATTATATCCTAATAATGCTGTTTAAAACAATATAAACATTTGCCACAGTTATGTTTGTTGCTATAACATAGATGGGTTTTGATTTTATTTCTTTTCATTTTCTTCATTTCCCTTTTGCAATATTTGCAGATTAACATTAATAATACTCAATGTTTAGATTATTGTTTGGGCTATCAACATTAAAAAGTTTTGTACAGTGTTTGGATTAACTAACTTACTAGCATTATCTGTAGAGCATGTGTGATGTTTACTGTATTAACAGGAAAGATATCAATATTTAAGCAAAAGAACCAAGCATTCTCAAGAATAGGAGCCATACTTTTGGTTGAAAAACAAATACCTTGAGGTTGCTAAGAAAAATGAACTTAAAAACATGAGAATTTACAATCACTTTCCTATACCACACACATTGACTTCCTGTTATTATTCTCATAGCACATATTATCATCTTTTCTGGTAGTCATCCAACCCCTGAAATCCAGACCTCACCCACATATTTAACTTTAGCAGAAAAAAATAAAATGTTAAATCATTTAAGACTTAAGAATCTTTTCAGAAGAATAATTGCTTCCTTACACATATTTAGATGGTTGGGGATTTTATCAACTTTCCTCACTTCTGTCTGTCAATCTTTGAGTGTGGTTCTAATCAGTTCAAAGCCAAAAGCCATTGCCTTATATCAACATCATTTGTGTTACCCTGCCTGTTTCATTAGTTTTTAGTCACTTGCCCAGTCTCTGGATTATCTGTCCTGTCTAGCACTAGAATTAAGATTCTTACTACTCCTGAGTTTCATTCCCTATTTGGGCTTGGACTGTATTTTTGTTTTCAGTATTTGTTGTCTGTGGCTGTCTCACATTTCCTAGTTCCTCACTCTACTCTGTTTTGATACTTGCTAAGTCATGTTCAGTCTGTCCTGGACCAGTTCTTACCTTAGCATTTTGACACATTTCAAAACCACCTTTATTCTCTTGCCAGTCACCAGTTAGAGAGTGCCCCTACTTAGGTACATGCCCTCAATTTACTGCTCTGACAATGTACCATGGACCAGTTTGGGAAGCAACAAACACAAAGATTCAAAATGAATTTATCCAGGTTAAATAGAGAAATTAACAAATATCCCATTTTAGGTTAAGGAATTAACAGATAAATTGTTGAATTATTTAAGGGTAGATTTATAACTGTTTTTTTCAAATTATGACCTATAAAAAGCTATAATAGGTACATTTATCAGTTACCAAAATGTAGCGTTTAACAGTAAACCCTTTGATCTATGTCACATCCAACCCAGTGGTTTAAAAAGCCATAATGGGGTTTAGATGATATTGACACCATGGGGAAATGTGTTTCCAGCCAAACATATTCATCCGGATTAGGCTTTTCAATGTTGCTGCTGCTGCTGCTTAGGAAAGGACTATGTGGTTTTAGTAGATGGTAATAGAAGGTCTAACCTCTGTAAACTTTGAATAGAATATCAGTAAGAGCTTCCTCTTTTCCTTTAGTATTTAGGGGTGTATACTGACAAACTTTCTAACTAACATTGTACCTTGATTAGGCAAAAAGTATAATATCAAAGCCTATACTTTTTCCTCTTGGTTGTTGTTAAAACAATAGTAATCATTCCAGAATTGCCCCCACTTTTGTATGTATGTATATGTGTGTGTGTGTGTGTGTGTGTGTGTGTGTTTGTGTTTGTGTATACATGTATTTGGGATTTTCACTCTATTTGTAACCAAGAAGTCATTGGTTGTATTATTTTTCTTCCTGTGGTAAGTGCCATTTTTTATTCAGCTGTTCCAGAGATGGTTGTCTTTCAACAAGAATAGGAAGTATAAAAAGAAAGTGTTCACTTCAATTATGCAGAATTGTACAGATCTAGTCAATAACATGAAAAGTAATAAGGGGAGGGAGCTACAAGAATGAGAAGGGAAGAAAAGGAAGGATGCAGAGGTCATGAGGGAGCAGAAAGGTTGAGTCAGGGGTAGATTAGAAGAAAGGATATGTGATAGGTACGGTTTTTAGTTGGGGGGTGGTAGGGGAGGAAGGGAGGGAGAAGGGAACTGGCATTGTCATGTAATTCAATCTCGTTTGTAATTCAAATAAAAAAAAAGAAATACTCATGTGAAACGCTCTTCAAGAGACTGAACAGATGGCTCCATGGGTAAAGGACTTGCCATGGAAACTATAGAACTAGAGTTCAGATCCCCAGAATCTATATAGAGGGGTGAGCATCGCAACCTTCTTGTAATTCCAGCCTGGAAAATAGGGAGACAGAGAGTCACAGGAACAAGCTGCTTTGATAAACTAGACAAAATAGTGAGCTTAAGGGTCAATAGAAAGACCCCACCTCAATAAAGAAAGTGGAGAGTCATCAAAAGGGACTTCCTATATCAATTTCAGGCCACCATACAATGTTCAAACAAGTGCATGCAAGTGCATGGGCATCACACATACATGTACCCACACAAATGTAAATACACAACACACACACACACACACACACACTATAAATATATATATGTGTATATATATATATATATATACATATATATATTTAAAAAATAATTAAAGCCAAACCCTCAAACACTCAACTGTAAGATTGTTGGCTAAACTACTTGATATGTGGACTCACAGACTACAGATTTCTGCAAAAGACACTGTCAGAAGACATAGTCTCAGGATGTGGTTTGGCACTTCATGTCTAAGGAAGTCCAAGGCAGGCTTCCCATAATACAGTTTCACATTACACTGTTCTTTCTTATGTTGCATTGTTAGAATGACTTGAGCAATATTTAAGAAATCAACATTGAAACCAACTTTGGCTCCTTTTATTTGCCAGAATCAATTTGGATATAAATACTCAAGGGTGCAAATTATATTTGTTTTCAAGAATGTGGTTGCCTTGGTATCCTACAGACAAAAAAAAAAATTTATGGTAATATTGATGAAAGTAAGTGTGCTGGTGAAACAACATGTCTGTCAAAAATTCCTAACAGTGACCTGAATATGGACCATGAAGCACTTAATATGTATTAATTTATTAATTACCAATAAGGCGATCCATACCTATAGTTCCCTCAACTAAAGATTAAGGAGAAGGAAGAGGAGTTTCAGGCTGGACTGGGCAACACAGCAAGACTGTATAAGGACAAAAAACAACCAGTACTCTTTCACTATCACTTGGGTCTTTGTACCCTGTTTTTGTTGTTGCTATCGTGTTTTGTTTTGTTTTGTTTCAAGGAAATCTGACGGGGTTGGCAACTGTGCCTTTGTCAATCCAGTTTATGGGAATTGCATCAAACCAGAGAAAACAGAGGTAAGTGGCAAGGTAAAGCACATTGATCACATTGATTCAGATCAGAAGCACACACACACACACACACACACACACACACACACACACACACACACACACACACACTTGGAGCCATTTCTGTATCATGGCTAAGAGAAATGTTCTAGTGAACTATTTCAATTGGTGTAAAAAGGAATTTAAGGCTCTTAAAGTGAGTGATATTTTCTAATTAGGACAGTTTTATTCCGCTTGTAAAGTCAGTTCACTGTTAAATGGCTTTGTGGTCACTGTATATTCTCCAAGAGAGCTGGTAAACCTGGAAAACATCAATTTAATCCATAGAGGAGTATTAGTCAGCTATTCCCAGTCACTATTCATTGGATGTTTTATTGGCTTATTTGTAGCCTCAATATTAAGTATATAGAAATCTTGGATTGTTTTCTTGATTACATGTTTAAAGATGTATTTTATGTGTGTTATATGTCTGCAGGTGTATGTGGGGAATACATAGACCTGAGTGCAGGTGTAGACAGGAGTAAGTACATCCAGAGCTTGGTTACAGGTGGCTTTGAGGGCCAGACACGATACTGAAGCCAAACCTGGCTTCTCTCTAAATGCAGTATATGCTCTGAAGACCTGAGCCAGCTCTCTCCAGCCCTCCTGCTTAATTTTTTTTTTAAAAAAAGATCTATCAACAATTTCTTAAAATTTTTGGTCTTGACATTGAAAATGAGCACCAAAGGTCAGGCCAGATGGTTTCTAACATTTCAGGACATTGTAGATGTGGGTAAAGACTAAAAATATTGGAATTTTACATTCCCTTATTTGCCTCAGCAAGTATGAAATGCACACTTTTAGTTTTGTTTAGGTAGAAATGAAAAAAAGAAAAAGAAAGAAGAAATTTCCCTAACTGTGAAGGGATTTATGTGGATGGTTCAGTGAGGAAATGAAACATATCCCTACTCAACTGGTAATAAATACCTATATACATGCAATATTTAATCAATTGAAAAAGAAAGACATAACTGAAAATAAGAAAATTGGATCTTTTTTACCCCCAACTTAGATAATGTTTTATTGTCTGATAAGTGCTAATTCTATAAGAAATTAAAATGAAAACCTTTAGATGTGAAAATATGAATGTTAGTATCTCAATAAATCAGTAGTCAGTAAATAGTTGCTAAGAAGGTACCCCACATTCCTTACTTTCTCTGAGAAGACAGCCTTTATAGTATTTGGGTGTGTGCTTCCCAGAACCCACTTTTCAATGCTTTTAAGCAGGGGTCACTGCAGTTTACAACTGATCACTCAAAGCAAAACTTTAGAATTTTATTTTGTTTCCTTTCCACAGTCTTTTTAAAATTCAACTTTTAGGACATTAAATGTGACCAGAGAAGAAATGCTTTCACATCTGTTTCTATTGTTTTAGAAAAATAAATTAACTATATTCTAAGTTCTTTGACATAAAAGAAAATAGATTTATCTAAAATATCATTCAAAAGCCCTTATAGAAATGTCATGTAGTACTTTTGTTTGGGGAGTACAGTGAAACAAAACAAAAAAACCTGCCAGTCACCCTTCAGCCACCATCAAATACATTCAACATTTTAGCCATTTTTGTCACTTTTCTTACCACATGTGTTTCCCAACCCTCTCCTGATTTCCTAAGCCAATCACAGATATTATGTAATTTAACTATGAAACTTCTGTTGTATCTTTCAGAGGTAAGGACACATTTAAAATATATACCCATGGTATCATACCTAATGATGTAGCAGTGTGTTCTTGATATTATCCAAATATATTCAGTGTTCAACCTGCTCCATTGTCTGTAAGAAAGTTTTTTTTTTTTTTTTTTTAGCTGGGTTTAGCTTTTGTTGAAACTCTATTTTTAAATCAGAATTTCTGTAAAGAACATGAATACAAGTTGATAGCTATGTCTTTTTAAGGCTGTTTTAATCTCTGTGTTCTATATTCTCTTAGCTTTCTTCTTGCAAAGAATTTCTCTATGCTCCCATAAGTGAGGGGTGGCATCCAGACTCATGCCCACAGGGTCCTGCAAACATACCTGATGTAACCCCACATCAGAGATTCTGGTAGTGTGAGCTAGAACAAGGCTCAGGGTACTCTGATTTATCACTACTGCGACATTCACATAGAAATATACTTCATGATCCTGTCAGAAGTTTCCTATCTTACTCTAAAGAACTCTAACCTTCTAAACTTATGTTTCTTCCTTAGAGTTCCATCTATTCTTTCTCAAATCCATTTTATGGTGCAACACCAGGAAGCCTGGAAACGGTGTCTCATCATCTCAAACCATAACATCAAACCATGTTTCATCCAATACGTGTTTATAGAAAATTTCTTTCACTAAATTGATCCTATATGATGTAATAAGGAAAATATTCAAATTTAGTATGATTACAACATACTGAAGCAGAGCTACTTGAAGATTATTTTTATGTTACATGGAATCACAGACAGATGCTTGTCTCCAATGTATTTCTGAGTACTTCAATAAAATATTCTGCCTAATCAACTTTTGTTCCATTTATTTTATGCTGATTATTTATTTTTAAGGTACTAAAATATAATTTATTCAAGAGCCAAATTTGAGTGACCATGGGATGGGAACATAGATTTAGGTTATCCCAAATTTTGTGTTATTGGAAGAGGTTTTATGGTTTTGCAAAAACAAGGCAAGGTTAAAATACATTAGTGAGTATATCAGGGAGTTGGTGACAGCAAGATAGGGCAAGCTTTTCTATAGACCTCAGATGTTATCTCTAAATCTTATGTTGAGATTGCTTCACATCTGGAATATAAAAAATCATTAAAGGTTATATCTTTTTGCTAAATCTTACAAACAATACAAGCTCACTCCTTTCGAACTCTCATGAGAGTGGGTAAATCCTGGTAACCCTATTCAATAGTTATTTTTGCACTTGGAAAATGTATGTCAATTAATCCCAAACCCATGTTTTTCAAGTAATCATGACTCTTTTACATAGAAGTGAAATGCCAAAATATAAATTAAGAGGCATGGAATTGTATAAATGTCACATCTCCACTTTAATAGTTTAAATATGTCTATCAGATAATTAGTTGTGCACAATTTACATGAATTAGGGTTTTCATTGTTCAGCTATCTCAGCAAAAACCTGGGTTGTTTGCAACTTTCATTACTCTCTTCTAAGTTTAGTTTCACTACAGATGATATGATGGCTTCATCATGTGTAAAGAGTAAGGTTAAGATAGGAAAGGATGACTCTTATCCTGTGTGCCATGTTTTAACACCCAGAAAATCCTTCTCAGCACTTCCAGATCTCCTTTCTAGCGTACATGTCAGCAAACATTTTCCATCAATGACTTGTTATTTGTCAGAATAGATATGTTGCCCATGCTAAACCAGTCACCCTAAAGAAGATGGAAGCAACCAAGGTTGACTGAAAGTCTTTACTATATAATATAAGCTAAAAATAGATCTTTGCAGCATAGCTTCAAATAGATGGAACTATTTGGATGAAACTAGATTTAGAAAGTCTGATAGTTACTAGTGATTGTCAACTCAACAGACTCTAGACACACATGGGAGATGGGTCTCTACGAATGGGTTTGGGGTTTATATCACTGTCATTTCCTGAGATGGTAAGTTCTACTCAACTGCGGGTTGTGCCATTTAGTAGCAAAAATGCCAGCCTGGAGAAAAGAAACTGAATATGCATTTGTTTCTGTCTATCTCCTGATTGTGGGTATGACATGACCAATAGCTTCAAAGTCCTGCTACCCCAGCTTCCCTGCCAAAATGGACTTGAATTACATACCTCAAGGGTCCTTTCTCCTTTGATTACAAGTGTCAGGGAATTTTATCATCTCAACAGAAAAGTAACTGAGGCAGGAAAGATAAATTTCTGCATAAATTTTAGTAACGTTTTGTGAGATTACAGCCTGGTCAAAATTATCATTTTTATTGGCCTTTCAATGAGTTAATCTTACATTTTATTTACCTAACTTTTAAAGGTTCATTTTTATTTTTATGTGCATGTGTTTGGGGTACATATATGTAATGTGTGTACGGATACCCATAATGCCAGGGGAGGGTATTGGATCCACTGGAGCTGAGTCACAGGGAGTTGTAAGATGAACTTGGGTTCTCTGGCAAACAAGCAAATACTCTTACATGTGGAGTCATCCATCTCTTGAGTCACCTTCTAAAATGTCTTGTATAGTTTAGCTCTCTATTAATTATTTTTCTAAATTTTTCTTTTGTTTCAACAATAAAATTACTGACCCCAGAAAAGCTTATAGAGGGAACATAAGGAGGAGTTGTTATTAGTTGACTATGGACATATGTATACTTTACAAGTTGTGTTCATGGATTCAACAAAGAATTTAAGGCTGCTACATAAAAAGTGTATTGAACATACAATTATTTTCAAAAGAAAATAATTATCTAACCTAAACTCATCTATTTTTGTATAAATACTAAGAGAATTCATAATACACAGAACATTGAAGACAGAAAATTAACACAAAATAGAAATGAGGCTACAACCAATAATACTAATTTGTTCACGCAGGGAATTGTTGCATTCATCTTAAAACATTTTAATATTTTTGTAAGATATTCTAAACATATGTGGAAATTCTATGAAGCTGAAAGAAAAGAATTGGTAATTACTCATGCACATTTTTCTGAATTTAATGTGATGTTGAGGTAATTTACTTTTTTTGTGCAGGTGTCTTCTTCTGAAAACATTTAGTGTAAGATGAAGCTTGCACCACTGTGATTGCAAAATTGGGTAAAGGAAGAGGAGTTGACAAGCAAGTTAGAGAGTGTACATTCTGTCTAACTCAGCTTAAGGGCAAGCTTGGTTACATTTTTTTCTAATCTAGGACTTATCAGCAGAAAGGATCACAATGATTAATGCTAATTGATTCTTTGGGTATGTAAGAGGTCTCTTTAGTATTCTGTCTCATGTAATTATCATATTAACCAAATGTATTTAAGGCAAACAATAATACCAGTTGCAAATGCTAGACGCAGTGAAAATATGTACAAAACAGTGTTGTATGTAGTTTACATAATTTACTTCATAAACATAAATAATGCCCTGCATACTATGCTGTAGTGTCACTATTTACAGGTAGCCATTTAATGTGAAGGTCGACTTAATTTAACCTAATGAAAAATTAAAATATATTGCCTCAATTGAACTAACACTGCAAGAGTTCAGTAGAGACATCTCTACTGGACAATAGAAAGATAATTGCTATCATTGCGATGGGTTTTCTTGGATGACACTGGCTTAGATCAATGTTGAAATCGTTTCCTATAAAGAATTTTGTTATAATATCCATAAGTCAAAAAAGTACTAATGGGGGTTTATCATGTGTGCATTCTGACTAGAAACAGCCAATTTCCACAGAATAATGATGGATTATGAATAAGACAAAGTGTATTTATCGGGAAGAAAACTAGCAGATGCCTATAATGAAATGCCTTTTAATAACGCTTTCTTGCCATATAAATGTTACATAGAATTCAAACAGAGCCACATCATCTTTGCCCATTTCATTCTTTTGTGTTTAGATGGTACCTTGAAAACACTGCAATTATTTGTTTTCTCTTTTCATCTTCCTGAGCTTCAATCATTTCCCAGTGTTTATCACACCATAAAGTAAGTTTCAAGTTTGCCTCTAAATAACAACCACTTTGTGCCTCCACAGAAGAGCCCTTCTGCATTTAGGGCAGAAAAACACAATAAACCCAAACTACTATATTCAGAGAAATGTCTTTTACAGTTCACAGTATCAAACTTCATTCTTATAAATAAAACTCAGAGGAAATGTATATTGAAGTGTAAGAGGACTAAAGGAATTTCTTTCCCAAAAGGCTTCTTAAACAGAAAAGAAATAAAGAAAAAAGAAAAGGAAAACTTCAACTGCACTTCACTGACAAATTAATGCCAGGCTTGAGATTCTTAACATTATTTCATTTTTCTCTACATCAACTTCAAAGTGTTTTGAAGCTTATTGCTAATGTATCTAGGAAACCACTGTAGGGGGTTAATACCTAGGAGAAAGAAAATGAAGGTACCTGCTCTTCTTTACCAGTGTAAAGACTTAACTCCTATAAGCCACATCCTGAAATTTCAATGAAATGAAGTTCCCAACACATCTTGAATTAAAGGACTAAATAACCATTGATCACTTAAAGTATGCACAAAGTAAACAATGCTAATCCCAGAGTAGACACTTAAATATTCATACTGAAACAAGCTGTTAAACACTCTGGGAGACTTAAGTGCTCTGAAAAACACATTTCCCCCCAAGAATATGGAAACAATATGAATGAATCTTCAGAAATTTAGAAATAACCCTCTGAGATTTTCAAAATATTTGTAGAGAGATTTGTTTCCAGTACATTATCACAAGGAGTGGGAGTAAATATATCAATGTAGTAAAACCAATAAAAGAAATGCCATGGTATTTTTTGTTATTGTTTTCTCTGGATTCTTTTTTTTTATTTTTACTTTGTATGAATATTTGCTTGCATGTGAGTATGTGGGGCATCCATAGGCATACTAGCCTTAAGAGGCCACATCTCATTTGAACTCAGAATCATTTGTTTTTCTCAATTGCACTGATAAAGTTTGGTATAAATAGAAGAAATGGATCACTGAGTGCAATGGAATACAAAATGTCTCTCATAGGATTACACATCTGAACATTTGCTCTCCTCTGCTAGATCACCACCACCTTGCTAGAGAATGAATGTCACTTGGAGTAGACTAGAGCTTAGGGCTCCCCTGCTGTCTTTGCTTTCTACATGTGGTTGGAGATGTGATTCCTCAGTGTCTTACTCTGGTGGCCTGCTACCGCACCTTCCTCACCATTGTGGACTTCCCTTCTAGAATTGTGAGTCGTAATAGATGCATTTGTAAGTTGCCTTTGGTCATGGCATTTTGTTCTAGTAACACAAAATTAACTAGATAATTTAGTTGATTCTCTGTCATAAAAAAATAAAAAATTAACTAAGATGCTGAAGGTGTGTCTTTTTTATAAATTTTATTTAAATTAGAAACAATCTTATTTTACATATCAATCCCAATTCCCTTTCCCTCCCACCCTCCCAAACCCACCACCAACCCCCCTATTCCATCCCCCATCCATTCCCCACGGAGGGTGAGGCCTTCCATGTGGGATCATAAAAGTCTGTCAAGTCATTTGGGGCAGGGCCTAGGCCCTCCCCTCCGTGTATCTAGGCTAAGACAGTATCCCTCCATGGGTATTTGGCTCCCAAAGTCCATTCCTGCACTAGGGATGAATACTGGTTCCACGGCCAGAGGCCTATAGACTGCCCAGGACTCCTAGCTGACACCCACATTCAAGGGGCCTGGTTCAGTCCTATGTTGGTCCCCCAGCTGTCAGACTGGGGTCCATGATCTCCCACTTGTTCAAGTCAGCTGTTTCTGTGGGTTTCCCCAGCATGGTCTTGACAGTGTTGTCATCACTCCTCCTCCTCTACAACAGGAT